GGGGTTGAGCATACATAGGTCGATAGATAGATAGATAGATAGATAGAGATAGAGATAGAGATAGAGATAGAGATAGAGATAGAGATAGAGATAGAGATAGAGATAGAGATATAGATATAGATATAGATATAGATAGATATAGATATATATGTATGTTGACTTGCTTGCGCGGCACCGCAACACTTCGGCCTCTTCCAGGGCCGCAGCATCCCAATTGCATCGCCGCTTGGGCGGCTGCACAGATTCCCCTTCAGGACACTTCCAGAGTCGCAGCCCTGTTTGACAGGGTGAGCGCGCACCTTTGAATCCTGGGGGAATTCGTCACTTCGTGACGAATTCCCCACGAAATGCCGGAAGGCCGGCGGCGGAGGCTCTTTGGCCTGAGCACACGGCCTGAGCGGGAATCTTCTTCTCGGCTCTCAGAGCGCGGCTTGGGGGCCCATCTGCACCATCTCCGGCATCTGCGACTGCTCGTACAGGTCACGCCGCTCGCCCCCCGGATCCGCTTCTGCCCCGCTTTGGCCCCGCTGCATCCTTCGTCGGCAGCAGTAGTAGTCGAAGCAGTTGCAGCAGATGACGCAACAGCAGCAACACTTCGCTTTCACGCACTTCGCACACCTCGAACATTCCTGTCCCCATGCATGGGTCAACTCCGGGTTCTCACACTGTGCGAAGCACAAGGGAGAGCAACACAGCAGAATTGTACAAACACTGATGGCGCATCCGATTGCAATCGCCAGAAGGCCCTTTCCCCTGGAGTCAAACGTCCACTCCAGGGCCCAATCAGAGGCTTCTCCGCTTGTGGTCAAGTCTTTCATTGAACCCATCACGATGAATACCACTGCAGAGACCTCAGCGGAGGGTCCCACTGAGTTATAAAACAAGTGCTCCCAGACTTAATGGCCAAGCGACAACCAAGATCAGCATCATCACAAAATAGCATCGGCACCAGCATTTCTCCAAAGTGCTGGCCTTGCCACCTCAGCACAAGGCCAAAGGGCGCTGCGCCTCACTGAAAAGCCGCTGACAACAGCCCCAAACGGGCCGCTAGTCGGCTCTCGGCGCCTGGTTTGAAGAGCTCCGACAATGCTGCTTTCATCGCGCCAAGTCCAATCGGAGGGAACTCCTACTAGACAAGCCTTCGGAACATGTGAGCATATGTGAACATTGAAGCATCTTGGACTTTCGATGGCTTGAGGCTCAATTCTGCAGAGCCGGGCTCATAATATGGTGAAGTGAGCTGCTTGCGATCATCGAACGTGAGCCGTTCTGGGGCGCATTTTGATGCCGAGCCCTCCCAGCGCTGGCAGTGGCTCCTACCCCGACCTTTGGCACGAGACCCCAGGCACCGGTCGGAAACCAGAAAGCCCCTTCTTGTGAGACTTGCTGCCTCATGCCCCCATCTCCTGCCAGCATGTGCGCACCTCGAGGCATGGGCAGCCGGATGGGCCGGGATAGCTTTGACAAGGCTTGATTGAAACGTGTGCGCTGAGCCCCACACAAGCATGGCTTCGGCACTGGGACCCTGAGCCATCGTGCGCCACAACCATCCCGGAAGGATGTCAGTTCCAAGCCTTGCAACGCTTGTGGCGCTTGGCATCGTCGTCGAAGAATCCCGGGCAGCTGAAGTCGCCTGGATGCGAACTGAACCCAGTCACCTCGTGAACTCTACAGTAGCTGTGATGTGAGCCCTTCTTGCGCCCAGGAACCGGAGACTCTTGAGAATCGGAGCTTGGCTTTGTCACAAGTTGGGCACACAGGCCTGGGAAGAGGCTGAGAGTGGAAGAGTGGAAGAGTGATGAAGGCTGAAGCTCCAGGCGGAACACCAAGAGCCTTGGCTTCGGCGACGCGTTCCAGAAGCTCGTCCTTCCGCCCGGACCTGCGCCACAGGCAGCTGCACCAGCCAGCACATGCCCCCAGCTCAGACAGCGGCTTGGGAAGCCCGTTCTTGTGAAGCATAGAGCCTGGCCGCTCTCCTCTCTCGGCCGCTCCCCTCTGTCTCTGTCTCTGTCTCTGCGCTGCGCTGCACACTGTCGCTCAGGACGCAGCCCAGGGCAGCGACGCTCTTCTTGGAGAGCTCTGCCTTCCACAGGAGCCAAAGGCGAGCCAAAGGCGAGCACTCTGGCATTCGCCTTGAGAGTCTCGATGGCCTCCCTCTGCTGCGCTGACAAAGCGCTCGCTTCAGCATCCTCTCTCTCTCTTGCCGACAACATGCCACACCCGACTGCACAGCTTCGAAGAGCTGCGCCTTCCCTTCCTCGGCAACCTTTGCCTTCTTCGAAGGCCTCGCCCACGCCCGCAAGCACACACCACTTCTGCCCAAAACATGTCGCTGCGCTGCTATTCCTTTTGCGAGTGTGGACCTGTCCGAGGCGTCTGGCTTTCTCTTGCCATCCTGATATGCTGCGGACACGCAAGGCGACAAGCGCCAGCATCTTGCCAGATGTGTAAGGCGCCCACCTGAGCGTTCTCGCCCCTGCAGGTCTTCAAGACTTCTTTGACCTCATGTCAAGGAACTCAAGGACCCTCACAGCTGCCTTCTTAAGTTCAGACCGAAGGCTCGATCTTGATCTTCCTTTTTCAGGCTGTCAAACCCAGTGATGTCCTCATCATTCTCTGGCAAGTGTTGACGAAACCAAGCTGGCTTCTTGATCTTTGGAAAGCAGCCTGCAGACATCTGCAGACACTCTCAAGCCTTCAATTCCTGCACCGCTTCGACCTTTCAAAGTTGCACTCAAACTGCGCATACCAAACTGGGACGCCCTGGACTGACTGGATCCGAACATGTTCTGGCACATGCATAGCATGTGGCCTGCATGATGCCACTTTGTCGCCTCTGCAGCGTGCCCCTTTTGCCTTTCCGCCGCATCCGCGCCCGCCGCACCCTCCATGTCCACAACCATCTTCACGCCAATTCGGACAGCATCTTTATCCTAGGCCAGGCAAGAGCACAGGCGACAGCGTCGCAAACCCGATCGAATGGGAAGCCCCCGGCGATCTTTTCTTTGCATTCTTTGCATGCGGCGCGTCCGCTTTTCGAGTACTCCGCTTCGAACTGGAAAGATGGCATCGCTCTTCGATTCGTGGCTGCGATTCGAGCCGCTGCGGCTGTCTCAGTGAGAGTGAGAGTAAATCCAAGAGACTTGGAAAAGAAGCTCTGCTCCTCACAATATGACGCAGCGACTGCCCTCGCTTCTTCACCCTGCATGCGCGAAAGTAAGCTAGGGCTGAGAAGGCACACGCAGCTAGGAGCTGCATGGTCTCAGCACCGAAATCTCAGACAGGGTGTCCGACCATGAGCTGTCAGAAACAGCCGCAGCACTTCGTCCTGGGAGACGCTAAGTAGCGATAGCATCTGCTGCGCCTTGGGCTTATTTCAGTCAAGCATCTTCTTTGATCGCTTTTTTTTCTCGCTCTTCGAGCCTTTGCCCTGGCAGGGGTCTTTATAGCGCTCCTCTCGAAGACCCTGATCTCGACGGCAAGGGCAACGGACACAAACATAAATTGGGAAAACCACGGAGCACGAGCCGCAAAGCAGGGATGCCAACAAAGAGAGGGCCACAGAGCCCTCGAGCCCGCAAAGGACCTTTAGGGTTCATTTCGGGGATACGACTTGCGCACTTGAATGGCTTCGAGACGTTGCGGTACCTCGCTGGCATGTGTTTCCAGGCTCCAGCGCAGAAGCAGCTGCGTTTGTCGTTGTTTCATGAATACTAAGAACAAGAATACTTGATAGCCATAACAAAAAGACTACCAATATTAGCAAGTTTGCAAGCTACCTTTGTGAGGGACACCAAGATTGATAAGAAGACGACTGACACCAAGAACAAAATACCACTAGCGCGTATATTCCTTGCGAGAAGAAGAACTGGAGTTTGAGAACTCTTCTCAACATGAAAACCGTTCATACCAAGAATAACAAGACAACTGATGCTCCTGAGACGAGGTTTACACACTTAAGACGAATACTGATACAACAGTGAGAAGGCTCCTGAAAATACAACTACTAACTCCCTCCTGGAGACTACTCTGACAAGTACTGGCTTCGTGCACTCCTGTCTTTAGCCGCAATTCTGCTGTTCACTGGCTTTGGTCTTGTGTTTCCCATATATTTTTTTGTTTTGGTATTGGTCTGTTCAATGATTTGTATCGGTTTTGCTGAGAAGCTTTTCAGAATCCCTACATGTGCTGGCGTTTGTCGACGTGTATGCTTTGCTTTTGCTATTTCTATCTATTTCTGCTGTTCTTTGCTTTGGTACTGTGCTTGGCAATCATCCCTTCCCCCATCAATTAAACACCCCCTAATCATAAAAACACTTTGAGGCCAATCCTCCACAAATCATCCCTGCCCTTTAAAACCTAATTTGCAGTGAAGGGTCCGGAGCAAGAGCAGGAGTAAGAGCAGGAATAAGAGCAAGAACAAAATCAAGAGCAAGAGTAAGAGCAAAAGCAAGAGGAAGGGCATAAGCAATAGCAAGAGCAACAGCAAGAGCGAGAGCAGGAGCAGGAGCAGGAGCTAGAGCAGGAGGAAGAACAAAATCCCTCACAAGTGGCCGTAGAAAAAAGATGACACTTTCTGAGTTTTTATTGGATGGAGGGGGCCGTTTCATGTTAGGGGGCAAGGATTGCGTCTGGCACCACTGTTGTGTTCAATGTCTCGCGGTGCCGCAGAAAGCAAAGCACTGCGGGGCGAATTGCAGCCCGGTCACGCGGGGCCCGGGCCCCGCGTTTGGCCCCGGCCCCGGCCCCGGCCCCGGCCCCGTGCCTCCGGCTTCGTCTTGCTGGGACCCGGAGCGAAGGGAGGCTCGGATCCTCTCTGAGGCAAGAGAAAAGCGCGAGAAAAAGACAGACACACACACACACACACACGAGGTGCTCGTGTGTGTGTGTGTGTGTGTGTGGGTGTGTGGGTGTGTGTCCTGCAAGCACCTTCTCGAAGGCCTGCAACAGTCACGCGAAAGCGAAAGCGAAAGCTTTCGAAACCTGCAAGGGCTCACCGGCTGTGTTGCTGGCACCGGGATCGCGGCCATAGACCTGCAACGAAGAGAGGGCGCTCAAAAGGCCGCGCCCCGAACTGCCAGGGCCAAGGCGAGCTCACAACGGGCGATCCGGCAGCGAGAGGCATCGCCTCAGCCGCTTTTCCAGCTGGGTGGGGAATAAGTGGCACGGTGCTAGGGAGTCCGCATTTCCTCGACCCACACCCGATATGGGGATGGACGCGTTGGCTGGCGATGGCACGAACTGGGCCCACAGAAGGCTTCTACAGTGCTTGACGAGCTGCCAAGAACTGGAAACGCTCCACATGCGCCACAGGCCGGCACGACTCCGGAAGATGTCTGCATGGTAGAGGCCACAATGGGAGAGGCCGCGGAGGGTGAAGGTATAAACTTAGCACAGCCGATTCTCAGCGCCCTGTGATGAAGCAAAGATCCTGAGCGTGCCACCACTCCTGAGGACGTTTGCACCACGGGAGTCGCCGATGTACCAACCGCCGCAACAGGAAGGGGCTGCTGCACAACTCCCTGGCACAGTGGCACAGCTTGCGGTTGAGAGGCATGGGCACAAGAAAACCTAGCAATTCCGTCGACAAACTGATGTGAGGACCAGCTTACAAATTGGTTGGCTGTTGTGCATGCCGTGTCGTACCATGGCTGTCGGGCAAACATTGGGCAGGCTCTGCAACAAGGCACATACAAAGGCGGACGACTCCAGCGAATCCGTCGGGGACTTGCTCCGGGGTGTAAGGGTCTCTTCGGTGCTCCGCACAAATCCACCCGGCTGACCCCGCCTGACTTCCAATGCTTTGCATCCAAGGAGGTGCCTTGTGCCGTGGCCGCAGATATCCCACCCAAAGATGGCAGAAAAACAAGCGAAGGCAAAAGGATCTGCATAGGATCTGCTGCACTACAACTTACAAGTCACAAGCTTCGACATTTGTGCGTTGTGCTCCCTCTTCCGACGAGTGCCCGGCAGGCAGCGAAGCAGAAACAGGGCCTAGGACACAAGCTGCACCAATCCCGCTAAAATCTGTGGAATTTCTGGGACGCAGGCCTGTCTGACTAAGTGTTGTTGTGGTGACTCCGGGAGCAACTGTAGCCGGGGTCACGGTTGCCGCAACAGGAGACCTCCAGACAAGCGCGTTCACCTCACCAACTCTCCAAGCATGTCTCCCTGTACAGCATCGCCGTCGCCTGGCGTAAAACCGGTTGGGGCCACACCTCTCCGAATTACACGAATCTGGTGCTGTTCGCAATGCAAGTACATACCACGAAGCTGTGTCGCCCACACTCGATCTGCATCGCACAGCACTGCGCCTGCTCTATGCAAACAAGGCCTGACTGGACAAGCGCCGCGCATGCCCATTTCTAGCCGCTGCCGAAAAGAAATAAACAAACTAGTGAGAAAGCCAGCGGAACGAGACGCTGTCACAAGACTTGCCTTGGAGTCCTTGCCAAACCTGTCATCTTGGCACTAATCTTTGAATGTATCAAAGCCAGAAAAGATGCATGCGCCTGGTACACTGGGTTCGCAACAGTAGCTGCTGCTGGCGCTGCGACTGCCGGGGTGGTCTGGGAGACGGTCATCACCGGTGGCACCGACTCCGGTGGCAAGGTGACGGCCGGAGCAGCAGTCCTCAGATGTTTCACTTGCGAGAGGCGCAATTCAAACAGCCATATGAGAGCCGGACACCATGATACTCTTCCAGAGACTGGGCGGCAGCCCAAGCTCACTACACACATTGAACCTCTGGCAAGCGAGCATCGCTGCTGGAAAAAGTCAAGTGTTGTATGCTTGGACAATTGCAAAAGCCGAACACGCTGAACTGCAAAAAGCAGCAGTTGGAAAGCTAACTACTCGAGCAACACCGAAGCACCCCAACGTCGCCACGTGTGCTCGAACAATATCCTTATTACCAAAGGCGTCATGTTTCGGGCGACTCGCCTTCATCAATTCCAATATGTCTTCCATAAGCCTTCTAGCGAGCTTACGAAGCGCCTCGTGCGAAATCGTGCTCACAAGGAAAAGCTCTCTCATCGGTCAAGCTGTTTTCTCTTCAAGATGGCAAAGCCTCTCGGGGTAGAAAGTTGATGCTCATCGATCCCCTTCGGGATCTCTACATTGGCCCTTCGGCCACTCGCCCCTTCGGGCACAAGACGGGCATCTTTCGCCCCGCAAAGTTTGCGTGGGAGCGGTGGGTACAAACCTTGCTGCACGGAAGGTCCCGCCCACCCACCCTCTGTTTGAGCAATGCGCGGATATGAATGATCATCAGTGGTTCAAAAGTTCCGCATGAAACATGAAGCGGTTTCAAAATTCTCTTCAAATTTTGAATCCTACCAAAAAGTTTATGGGGCTTGCTTATGGCTTTTAGCGTCCCGAATTCGGCTTATAACCAAAAGATTCATGCATAGGCGACTCGCTTTCATCCATTCCAATATGTCTCCCATATCATCAATCAAATATCTAAGAAAACGAAATGGGGCCTTCTAGCGAGCTTACGAAATGCTTCGTGCGAAATCGTGCTCAGGAGGTCTCTCATCGGTCAAGCTGTTTGAATCCGAAATGCAATGGACCTGCTATTTTTCTCCAGCTGACTCAAGGGCCCTCGATCCGAAATGATCAGTTCTAAACATTGTATCTCTAGCCACTCGCTGCACGATAAACCTTCTCATGAAGTGTTCAACAAACATACTTGACTCACACGAGCAGACTCACACCTTTTGGCGGGAAAGACGCACAACATCCGAAGTCTGGTATCACGAACCGAGTTGAAGGATGCTGTGTTTTAAAGCAACCAACTCTCGCTGTGCGAAGTGGAGGTTTCGCAGAATTTTGAGCTGAACCTTCCAGACATGCAAGCATCACCAGAAAAGTGGGCATGATGTAAGCGTCACCGATAGAGTACAAGGCCGATGATGCATACTGTACCTGGACTCAAAGCATTCACCACCTCAAGGGCGGGAGAGATGGGTGTTGCATGAAATGCATTGTCCCTTTTCGAGCAGCTTCGCGGCTAGAGATATAGAAGCACCATCATAAGCAAACAACCGGTAGCATAGAAAAACAATGTTAAAACAAACTGAGCGAGGACAGTGTTAGTTCTAAACATTGTATCTCTAACCACTCGCTGCACGATAAACCTTCTCATGAAGTGTTCAACAAACATACTTGACTGTTGTGTGTTAAAGCAACCAATTACCAAAAACCCGCCAAGGTGAGAGTCTGGCTCGCAGCACTACCAACGCCAGCACCAAAAAGTGAGACAGAATCGAAGCGAGGAACGCAGTGTTCAGAAAACGCCCGGCGGGACTGCTCACGCGTACAAGTCCGTGACCAAGAAGGCCTAATTTTGCTTTGTTTCCGGGCACATATCGCGGACCAACCACATCCATCGGGGGAAGCATAGCAACCGCGCACCGATGACAGTTTGGCCCATGTACCCTGGCACAACCAAGCTAACCCACAAATGCCCGGCTGGAAGGCTGGAAAACCCGAGGCCTCTATCTACCGGGGAAACCGAAGCGACCACACACCGCAGACGTTCCAAGGGACCCGAACAAATGTAAGCGCAGTGCCATCGGCGAAAGACGAAAGTCGCAAGCCCAATCTCGGGCGCATCTGTCAAGGTAGACAACGGCCACAGCTGGGCCTCCGGAGGCGACATTCTGACAACACTGGCCTGGTCCCCTTGCGGAAGCGAAGCCGTCTTTCTGAAAAACAATGCCAGAATCCGCGGCTCAACAGATCTGCCTTCTCGTTGCGTTGTAAAAACGCCTTCGAAGCATTCGAAGCCTTCGAAGTCGACGGGTCGAAGGGGGCGTGGAGGGCGCCGCCGAAGATGAGAAAGCCTTCGAAGGCTTCGAAGATGAGGACGAAGGCTCCCTTCGAAGCCTTCAAAGGCTTCGAGGACGAGAACAAAGGACCTTCGAAGCCTTCAAATTCCGAAGCCTTCGAAGTCTCAGCTTCGAAGCCCCTTCAAAGCTTTCAAAGGCTTCGCAAAACCTGAAATTCTTTCCAAACACAAAAAAGCAAAAAGCCACACAAGAACGCTTTGGAACAAGAGAAAAACGTGAAACAAGAAACCTGACGTTCTCTGCAAACGAGAAGAAAGCCACACTCAGATGGGTTCTGATAATCCTAAAGTTTGATGCGTTCGAATTCTCATTTGAGCCTTTGCGGCTTCTCGATCGATCCTGGAGCCGAGCTGCTGGGACCTGGACATCAGCTGGGGAAAATCCAATTCTCTGCAAACGAAAAGAAGAAAGCCACACGAAAACGCTTTAGAGGAGCAAAATGAAGAAAAAGAGAATTATTTTCACTGGTGAAAGTTTGGCTCGATCCAAACCTTTGCACTGGAAACTGAATCTATTCAGACTTCATAGAAAAATTTCTGAACTTCATAGCCAAATAATTCGACATTGAAAAATTATGTTCATGAAACTGCAATCAAGATGCAATCTTAAACATCAGAGAGAAGCGCACTCGGTCACAACCTTTTTCTCGTAGGTGGCATGGGGCGTTCGAAAGTA